AGCCTCCTGAGTAGCTGGGATTACAGGCACGCGCCACCATGCCCAGCTAATTTTTTGTATTTTTAGTAGAGACGGGGTTTCACCATGTTGACCAGGATGGTCTGGATCTCTTGACCTCGTGATCCACCCGCCTCGGCCTCCCACAGTGCTGGGATTACAGGCTTGAGCCACCGCGCCCGGCCCGAGTTAATTTTTTTTTAAAGGATGGCAAATAAGTATCTTGGTTAAAACACACACACACACACACACACACACCCCAAAACAAAACAACTTGCCCTGCTACCAGGCAAAGTGACAAGATAATCAAGTCAGGAAGGGAACTGCATAAGGCTGATGAGAGATGCCATCCACTGGAGAAGGAAGTCTTTTTCTTCTAGAATTTGAAAGGTGAAGCAGATAGCTCTTCAGAATCCCTCTTGCCCCTTTTGCAGCTGAGTGAATTAATCCTGGCTGGCAGGATTAAGTGTGGTAAATGCTAACTAACCTGGTTTCTTTACCAAGATGTTTGCTCCTCTGCAGCGGAGCCGCATTCACACTCTAACTTAAATCCTGTGGATGTTTAAGAGACTGTGGCCCTGAGACCTCTGGAAACTGATCCAGGTCACAGCTGCTGCCTGCTTCCTAGGGGGAGGGCAGCAGGTGCTTCCGAGCTCTCTGACTGCCTTCTCCTCTCTCTCCCTGGGCTCCCAGGAACAGCATCGCGGCCTCAGCTGTGTGTGTCTTCAACCTGAGCGCCATTGCACAGGCCTTCGCTGGGCCCTTCAAGTACCAGGAAAACTCACGCTCCGCCTGGCTACCGTATCCCAACCCAAACCCCAACTTCCAGGTAATTCTCGGGGGGCAAAGGGCACTGTTGGCATCCCCATGAAGAATGCAGAAGCCTTGTGTAGACAGGCAGGGGTGATTTAAAACGCGGGTGCATGCATCATGCAGCAGCTGTCTCCCTGGCCCCTCATGGACAGCCCCACACTCGGCTGGCTAATGTCAATAGACCCGGGCCCTTTGTGAATTGTGGCGCCGGGACCCAAAAAGGCCTTTTGTCAGCTGTGATGCCTCGGACTGAGCTGAAAAAGACCAGCATTCTGCTGCAGGTTAGGAATCCAGGCTTCAATTAGTACTAATGATGCTGGGCTCTGTGTCCTCAGAACCTCTGATCCCTAATGAATGACATTCTAATGAATGGGGTCCAGGGCACAGAGCAGTGGAGACACACAAACAGGGTTAGAGCGCTAATTGGCAAACGTGGTGGGATTCCCTGTTGGGAAGGACAGAATGCCATGCAGGCAGCTGGGGAAAGAAGAGGAGGTGGAGGCCCTTCATGTCTTATCACAAAATTGCAGAAGGTTCACGCTTTCAGGGCTTTCTGAGTCATCCATCTCCCCGTGTCCGGAAGAAGCTGAGACCCAAAGAGATGACGCAATTTACTGATGTTTGGTGAGTTGGCAGGTATATTTGTCCGCTTGGACTGCTGTAACAAAACACCGCAGACTGGGTAGCTTAAAAAAGAGACATTTATTTTCTTACAGTTTTAGAAGCTAGACGTTCAAGACCAAATTGTGAACAGGGTCATCTTCAGGTGAGGGCTCTCTCTTCCTGGCTTGCAGATGGACATCTTGCTGCATCCTCACGTGGTGGAGAGAGAGACATCTCTGGGGTATCTCTTTCTGTTTTGTGAGGGCACCAGCTCCACTGGGCCAGGGCCTCACCCTTGTGACGTCACTTACCCTCATTTACTACCATAGAGACCCCATCTCCATATATGGCCACACTGGATGTTAGGAATTTGGGTAGTTCACACTGAGCCCACAGCAGCGGGCATCCCTGGAGGGCTTTCTGACTACTTTCTTAGGACCATCATCATCATCGTAGCTGTAAATTTTAGCAAGTCCCAGACACGGTGCTAGAGGCTTCAGATAGATCAGCTCACACACCGGCGGCAGTGCTGTGGTGGGTAATGCCTTCTCCGTGTGCAGGGTAAAACACTGGGCCTGGGGCAGGTCACCTGGCCAGAGCCACACAGCTGATCAGTAGCGAGTAAGGATCCAAACTTCAATTCTCAGATGCAAAATCCCAGCCCATTCCAACTACATGGGCGTTAGTTAACTATTACTAATCAGTAGTAGAAGTGGGTCCTGTACCTAGGACTCCCCTAAAATGGGAGTGTGGAAAGGTTCAACTATTTTACACTTTACTTCGATTTTTGCAAGGACCATTCAATTCTGGTTGTTTTGAAAGAGTTTTGTGTTTGTTGCTATCTTTTTTAGGAGGGGGTTAAAAACACTTGTTTTTTTTATTGTACTTTACGTTCTGGGGTACATGTGCAGATCATGCAGGGTTGTTGCATAGGTACATACATGGCAAGGTGGTTTGCTGCCTGCATTTCCCATCACCTGTATTTGGCATTTCTCCCCACGTTATCCCTCCTCACCCTCGCCACCCCCTGCTGTTACTCACTTAGCTCCCCCACAACTGACCGCAGAGTGTGAAGCTCCCCTTCCTGTGTCCACGTGCTCTCATTGTTCAACACCCACCTGCTGCTGTCTTTAAACTTTTGAAGGAGTGTGGGATTAAAAATAAGATGGCTGGCTTACATGTCGTCTTTCCGTGCACTGCTTTCCTTGAGCAAATTGTGTGCGTTTTTATCACACATCTATCTACTGCGCATCTTTATTGTATATTTTCATCAAAATGGAGAGAGGGATAAAAATGCATGGAAATAGTTTAGGAGTAAATTTTGATAACCCTAATTAATGTGCATTATTTACTGTATAAAATATTTGATAAATATAATTCTCAGAGACTGAACACAGAGGCTCATGCCTATAATCACAGTGCTTTGTGAAGCCAAAGCAAGAGGATCTCCTGAAGTCAGGATTTCGAGACAAGCCTGGGCGACATAATGAAACCCTGTGTCTACAAAAATAATAGTAATAAATTAACCAGGCATGGTGGCAAGCAGTTCTAGTCCTAGCTATCTGAGAGGCTGAGCTGGAGGATTGCTTGAGCCCAGGAGTTCAATCAGGAAGCTGTAATCCATCCACTGCACTCCAGTCTGGGTGACAGAGCAAGACTCTGTCTCTAAAAATGCAAAGAAGAATGACTCTTAGGATCATTTATTTGGTGCCTCCTATGTGTCCCATGTTGTATAAATGCATATTTTGTCTTACTTTCTCCTCTAACATACAGGAAATACTCCTTTTAAGAAAGTCCTTGGTATAATAAAATCCTGAAGATTAAAGAATTAATAATGCTTACTGTATTTATAATGCATTTTCAATGCGTTGATTTTTTTCTTGCAAAAGTCTTTACAGTGTTCTCACTCATAGGCGGGTGTTGAGCAATGAGAACACATGGACACAGGGAGGGGAGCACTACACACTGCGGTCTGTTGGGGGGAAATAGGGGAGGGACGGTAGGGGGTGGGGAGCTGGGAGAGATAGCAAGGGGAGAGATGCCAGATGTAGGTGATGCGGAGGAAGGCAGCACATCACACTGCCACGTGTGTACCTATGCAACAATCTTACATATTCTTCATATATACCCCAAAGCCTAAAATGCAATAAAATAAACTTAAAAAGAAAAAAGAAAAAAAAAAGTCTTTACAGTGAACAGGGTGACTCAGTAAACTTCGTAGTCCATTACCACCTCCAGGCTGTGGGTAACTTTTAGCCCATTTATCTGAATACATTTAGAGCACACAGCATTTTCTGAGGCCAGAAGTGTGTGTTTTTATAATGTCAGTGTCACACTGAAGGACTTACTTTCATTATGGGATGGAAGCCAGTCTATGCTGCATAACGAATGAAGCATGCAGAAATTGGCATGTGTTTCAGGCAGGAAGCTTGCATTGCTGAGCTTCTCTTCTCTGAGTATTATTTAAGACTCGAAAGGGAGCTCAACCTACAGATTATGGTGATTCTTTGTTTAACTCCTAGTACAAGTATGTACTAAGTATTTTTTTTTATGTTACTCTATTTGGTAACTATACTGGCAAAGTTTCCTCACTGACATTCATGAAACCATCTAGCCTGGCATAGATGGGGAGTGGGAATTCAATTTCAACGTAAGGATCCCTCTCCAGACATGTGTAAGAGGCCTTATGTTTGCAGTAACCAACAATGGAAAGTGGTTAGATTTTTAGAACTCTTGTTTTTCCTACTGACATTTAAATTTTGTGCAGTATTTATGTAACCTATGTACTAGAAGTAGCTAATTAATCAGAGAAGCAGAAAGCAGATTCCGGTTCAGGAAGATGATGGGTTAGGAGAGATGTTGCATAATATTTCAATATTTAATATAGAAATGTCAAATAAAAACAGTAGCAAAACAGCAAAAAGTATTATTTTTCTCAGACAAAATACATAAACTACTCTAGGTGGCGCTTCTGAGCCCCGCCCTGCTAGAGGCTGCAGTCCTCAAAGTCATCCAGACCCTGACATTCAGTAAGACACGTGGCAGTCGCTGGTGTAAAACACCACCCAGGCCTGGTGGTACAGCTGCACTGTGACAGACTCCAGAATTTTCTGTGCAGCTCTGATTACTGTCACTCAGAAAGGATGGAGTTGAAATGGACAAAGAGAGCCTCAAATGTAGTTAAGTAGATGAGGAGGCAGTTGTTGGAGGAGCAAGTGCAGAGATCTGACTCTGTCCATTGGGACGTGGAAAGCATTTTTTGAGACAGAGTCTCACTGTGTTGCTCTGGCTGGAGTGCAGTTGCGTGATCTCAGCTCACTGCAACCTCCGCCTGCCCGGTTCAAGCAATTCTATGCCTCAGCCTCCTGAATAGCTGGGATTACAGGTGCCCACCACCATGCCTGGCTAATTTTTATATTTTTAGTAAAGACAGGATTTCACCATGTTGGCCAGGCTGGTCTTGAACTCGTGATCTCATGATCCACCTGCCTCAGCCTCCCAAAGTGCTGGGATTACAGGCTTGAGCCACCATGCTTGGCCCACAAAGCATGTTTGCAGCAAGATAGAAGTCAGTAAGAGAATGAAGGGGCCATTAAAATTGGGCACTCCTGCAGGAGATTAGGTGATTGTGGGCTTGGCCACCATGCACTAGCGTGCTAGGACAAGAATGGATTCATTGTCTGTGAAACAAGTAAACCAAAGTGCAAGTATTTATTATTTAAAAAAAAACAGTAGAATTACCGACCATGTGACTTGAAGAGATGTTGGCATGACGACTGTTGTGGATTGTAGGGCACGTGACAGCAATGGCTGTGCTTTTACTATTTTTGTTGTTTTCTTCTTGCATGGTGAATCCAGGGTGTCTCACACAGTGCCCCACACAGACACAGTGGGAGTCCAGCATATAAGGCAAAGCTAAAAAATTTTCAGACATTAGAGAGTTAGGTGGATTGGTTATGATCCAATATGTATATTCTGTAACTCTGAGTACTTTAACAACTATTTGAAAGAGAAGCACTGGGTGGAATATTCACTATAATAGGCCAGCAAAAGAAACCAAGAAGTAGTAGAGTATACCACGAAACCAAGTCTTGGCAATTCTGGCAGATGACTTAAATGAGACTGAGAGATAGGCGAGATGACAAGGCATGGCGAGTGATCCTGCCTCACCCCCGCCACTGAGATCTCCCTGTTAGGTCCCCAATTTCTCGGCGTTCCTTAAGAACAGCGAGAGATTCTCATTTTTATATTGTGCCTCCTCGTTTTCATGATACCAGTTTTTTTGTTGTTGTTTGTTTTCTGAACACTGTGCTTACAAAACCTGTGTGCAAACTTTCCCCAGTAAGTAGGTAGCGAACTGCCACTGTGCCTTAGGTATCATCACTGATTTCAGGAATGTAAACCACCAAACATAACGTCATGCTCAGAACTAGAACTCACCTGTGTAGACAGTAGATCAAGCCTAGTGGAGCTCTTTTTTATTTTTAAAAACACGTATTGATAGACAGCGACACGTCCCTGACCTCCACGTGTTACTATTTCATGCTGTAATTAGATAAAATACCCTAGCACATCCCCTCACCCTCAACAGCAGCTGCTTGTGTATTCACTCATTGATTCCTTCCCTTCTTTATTTATTTACTCATTTCCTTCTGGCCACTGAAGCTCAACAGACCATGGAATTGCAGTCCTGCTCCAAGACCAATGCATTTGCCATTTACCGTTAGTTGAATGGCTTCTCTTTAGTGCCAGGCACGTTGTCTTGTTCTTTGGCACTCATAAGGACTTTCAGTTAATTTATAAGTGCTTTCCACAGATTATCTCAGCTGGCCTCACAGTAGGCCTGAGAAATGAGCAGAGTCAGTATTTTCCCAGTCACTGGACAGGTAAAGAGACAGAAACTGAGAGGTGAGACCTCACCTGAGACCACGTGGGAGGACAGTTGTCACTCACGATTCCATGTGGCTTGAGTGATGGAGCCAGAGTAGTACTTGGGCCATGGCAGGTCTGAGCCTTGCACCTGAACTCACACAGTCCTTGCCTGTGGAACATGGGGCACCCCCGCAAGGGTGTGATACTAAATGAAGCATTGGACTGGATGCATGAAATCCATTTGACTCTCAGAGTCTCTTTTTCTGCAGTCATCCTATTATTTCATGGCATGTGGATCATTTTATCAAATGCTACAAAATCATCATCTACTTTTAAAAAAGCGATTTTCATCTTACACATCTGCACCTCTCACCTGTTATAAAACCAAACATTAGACATGACATGTTATAAACCATAGTTTCAGGTGATAAAGGTCTGGAAATTCATTTCCATCAAACCTACTTATGTGAAGTTCTACTGGGGATCAGTCACCATTTGTACCGGGAATTAAAGTTTATGAAAGATGTGAGAAGGGTTGGTAGTTTTCTGATTCTGAGCTTGCTTTCCTTTCTATCCCTCTTTTTACCCCATCCTTGCCAGAAACAGTGTGATAATATGACACCCGCAGCCTCCCCATAGCACAGCTCGGAATTTAATTCCCAGCAGCGTGCGGGCCTGATTTTCCCCTTGTGTATATATCCCAAATTCATCTCCATGATACTTACTCTATCTCAACATCTCATTCTTTTTTTCTTCCTTCTGTATTCCTTTCTGCTCTTCTTCTCCCCACTCATCTCCTTTCCTTCATTTCCCTTATCTCCTCATCTCTCTCTCTTCTTAGAAATTTGCCATGTTCTTTTCCATATTCCTGGACTCTAACCATTTTAAAATAATTTCGTCTAATTTGAAATGCAAGCACAAAGCAATAAGGCCGACACCATATTTTTGTATCCCATGTGAATGCTGTTCAGCTTTACAGATTAGAATGACCCAATGCTATCACCTTGAAATCCATGTCTTGCTTATAGACCCCCTGCTACAGTAGAAAAACTAATGCATCTATATGAGGTCCTTAATTGTTGCATTTTCAATTTGCTACCTGATATCTCAGACAGATATCATAGTATGTGTTTAGCCAGGCAGCTGTCAAGTGACTCAACAGAAAAGGCGAAGTTTCTGTGCATCTGCAGCTTAAAGTTAGCAATCGCTTTAATTTTTTTAGCTTCTGATCAGTTCATTTATGATGGGGTTAGGAGATTCCCAAGATATGAGTTCAAATCTAACATGAAAAGGATGCTAACGATGGTGGCTGCAGGGAGAATAGAGAAGCAGACAAATTTGCACACCAGTTATGCATTGTGGCTTACCTGATTTCCAAGTTGCTCTCCAGCTACGGTGGTCACAGCCAGCTGTGGGTGTCCAGGCTGGTGGCTCTGGTAACACGGCCTGTCTTCCCTTGCAGTGTGGCACCGTGGACCAGGGCCTGTACGTGAACCTGACCGAGAGAAACCTGCAGGATGCTCAGAAGTTCATTCTGATGCATGAGGTGGTGCAGCCAGTGACCACCATGCCGTCCTTCATGGAGGACAACAGCCGCTTTTCCCACGTGGCTGTCGACGTGGTGCAGGGCAGAGATGCGCTCGTCCACATCATCTATTTGGCCACAGGTAGGAGCTCTGCCCTCCTCTGAGGGGTTTTCTATCATCTTCTGATTTTGTGTTTTAGATTTAGGTTCTAAACATGCAATTTCAATTTCAAGCTTTACGTCTGCTGTCTCTTTTTGCGACCAGCAAAACCCACGATGCTAACTTCTTCCTCAGCTGCTGTGCATCATTTGGGAAATTTCAATCGATTTTCACTCTATTAGTCATAACTTTATTTGGAAAGACAATGGCTTCTTTACTATTATTTCTCAACTATTCATAAAATAAGTCTTTTTGGCAAGACCATTTGGATTTGGGTAATTTAAGACAGTGGTGTGCTTTGTTAGAGGACATTTCTGGGTGAAATGTTATCTTGGGATTGTCCTGGTGATTTCTCATTTGTTTAAAAACAGTGCCTTCAGCAAAATATTTGTGTGGATGGGAGTACATGGAAGTGTTCAAAGAATATGTTTTGAGGCATAAATAATGGAATATTCATAGCAAATGTAGGCAACGATACTTATCAAATTACAAATAACAATTAGACCTCTTCAGTTTCCAAAGCAACTAAAGTGTAGAAAGCATGTTTCATCTCAGTTTATTACACAGACGGCTCCAGGTGTGTGAGGTGGGCTTAGAGACCTGGCTCAGCCCTGAGGACATGTCCCTCTCTCTGCTGCCTTCAGGTCCCCAGACAGAGCTGTCTCATGGTAGAGTCTGCCCCTCTCCATTCTTTGTCCAATGTTTTGTATAACTGTCATTTCTCATGGAGCATAATTGCTGTTTTTTGTTGCTGATAATAATATATTTTTTTTCTTGAAAGAACTTCTCAATTCCTAATTACATCTTTACCAGTTAGGGTTTCTTTTTTCCCATGAAGTTGCTACTATCTACTGAATCTTTACTATTTGTGAAGTTCATTTGAAGCACTGGGGAGTAAACTGGTGAACACACAGGCATCACCTGCTCTGTTGGACTTTACATTCTAGTGGACACAGCAGATAATAAATAGACCAGTCAGCAAGATGCCAGAGAGGTTATGGCGAGCAGACACAGCAGGTGCACAGAGAACGCTATGGCCGCAGGTGGCAGGCAGGCTCCTGTATTTGCTGGCCAACATTGAACTCTGCCAGGAGATGAAGATTAAGCTGATCAGGGACTGAGAAGGAGGGGCCGGCCCTGTACCCATAAGGGAAACAACCAGTGAGCCAGATGTAGGACTGGCCAGCTGCAGGCAGTGCCACTGAGTGGTCAGGAAAGATAAGGACAGATGTGACCACTGGATGGCCAGGTGGAGAGCCACAGCTGCCTCTCAGGGTCAGTCTGTGGGAAGAGGAGGAAGTGGGCAGGAGGAAGAAGTCAGAAGAAGCTGGCAGAAGTCAGACAGTACCAGCTGCTTAGGGAATCTCCTCTGGAGCTTTTCAGGGAAGGGGAGTGGAGGATTGATGAGCTATCTGGAGGGTATGGGAGGTTAAGGAAAGGGTTTTTCTTGCTTTTTGTTTTAAAAGAAGGAAAGGAATTACTATTGCATTGTCTTCTTGTTTATGAGACTGCAGACAGGATTGTTTCTCTTTATTCTGTCATTTATTTCCTTAATGTCCCTCAGGGTGCCTGAAATGGAATAGGTTTGTGGGATGAATGAACTGGACCTTTCTGTAAGTGTTCCTAGTTTTTCACCATAAATGTCCAGGCTGATGACACAGAGAACAGGGCCATCTTCTTCCAATTCTACGAGGACATTGAGGACTTCATTGGTACCTTGGGAGTGGGAGGGATTTTGACAGGGGCTGAGGCTATTCTTGAGTAGACCTCAGTGGGTCAGTGCAGAGCAGCCTGAGGTCTCAACTCGAGCCTTTGGACATGCTCCCCACATGAGGCTGAGTAGGTGACATTTGCTTCTCTTGTGTTTATAATGATCTATGGTGAACTTCTGAGGATTTCTGTTGAAACTTTCCTATTTTTACTTTGATGAGTGCCTTAGTCAGTGGCTATAACAATTTACCATAGACTGGTGACTTACACAACAGACATGTATTTCTCATGGTTCTGAAGGCTGGAAATCTAAGATCATGGTGGCTGATGACTCATTTCCTGGTGATGTTCCTGTTGCTGGTTTGCAGATGGCTGCCTGCTGGTTGTGTCCTCACGGAATGAAGAGAGATCTTCTCTTCTATCTCTCTTCTTATAAGGGCACTCATACCATTCATAAGGGCTCCATCCTCATGACCTAATCACCTCCCCAAAGCCCTGCCTCCTAATTACATTTCATGGGGAATTAGAGCTTCAACATATGAATTTTGGGGGGAAAAAACATTCAGTCCCTAGCTACAAGTAACTTCTTCTACCACTATTTAAAACCATTATTTAAAAGTTTCTAGAAACTCGCTTGCAGAAGTCTGTTTTGAATGAGAACATAACTGGACTGCTGCTCCCAACCCCCTCACCCCCACACTGAGCTAATGGTGAGATTAGCTCAGGACTCAGCTGCTACAGAGATTCCAGACCATCTGACCCTGTCTGATCTGCAGATCTGATTGCGATAGTGATACACCACATGCCATTTGGCAAATACATCTTGCAGAGATTCGCTTTATTGTTCCATAAACCTGATTTTTGGCTTTTGTTTTAATATATTGCCTATGTACAAAGTGAATTGTGTTGTACATCAAGATATTGCTAATTTGAACCACAAGTTGGGATTATGGGTAAAGATACCATATGCAGAACTCTTTGGCAGTTTCTGTCTCTCACTACTTGTGTTGTTTGTTAAACTCAAGAGGAGGAGGACTTCATAGTGGGTGAAGGTACTTTCCAGCAGAAACCTGGGTTCCTACAGAAACCCTGCTCCAAATCATATGCAGTGACTCACGGTGGGTTCCAAAACAGGTCTACTGAAAGCTGCATTCCCAGGCCGCATTTCACCTTGTTTAGACTGGCTTGACAATTTTAACTGAACAACCTCTATAAATTACAAATTTCGTGTCTCAACTAACTTGTGGCTTTTTTCATTTACTCTTACAGTACTGTTTAATTAATATATTTTGAAGGAGATATATTCTTTTTTCAGGTTTTAATTACGAATGATATTTAGCTTTAAGGGATTTTTTTAATGATCTAGCATACAGTCTTTATGTCCAAAACATTGTATACTGGAAGGTATAATAATATACATTTTAATTCAACCCTCTAAGAGCTGAACAACTCCCAACAAGTAGAATTGATAAAGGTTAGAGATTTTGACTTTTCAGATTCAAAAGGCTGATGTTTATCTGGTCTCTTACTTATGTCTAGCCCTAGTAGTTACATCAAAGCAAACCAGGGACATTCATCTCATTTGATATTAAAACTGATTCTGAGGTGGGAGGGATAAAGAGAGATTGATTAACGAGTACAGATATAGACATAGCTAAAAGTGAGACCTGGTGTCCAATGGATCAGTATGGCGCCTATAGTTAACATTAATTGATTGAACATTTGAAAATAGCTAGAATAGAATAATTCAGATATTCCTGGAGTAAAGAAAACATAAATATTTTAGGGAATGGATTTCTCTATTACTCTGATTTGATTATATTAATGTATCCAATTATTACCTATACCTTGAAAATATATATATCTAATATGTTTCAAATTTTAAAAATTAGAAAGGTAAATCTAAAAAAGGAATCTGATATTGAGCACACATGCTAGAGATCTTTCAGTATGGCTGCACTTGATACACCTTATACAGGAGTTAAACAGATTATCAACTGATGGAACATGGGTAAAACATTCATAACTAGTGATTGTGAAGCTACAGTCCTTCCTAACTTATTCACAGAATCAGTTTGATATCCTTCCAGGCATGGGAATCCAGGTTTGGTGGTAGGTGTATTTTCTCTCGCTTTGATTTTGTATGAACACATGCAGATGGGAGGAAACCTGCCAATGGCTGTTTGAAAAGTCAGTTTGTTTTATTTGTCCATGTTGTCTGCAGATCCACGTAAGCTAGAGTCCTCTTGGTGGTGTAGCTCATCTGCATCTTGCCTCTTTGGTGGTGGTTCCCGCTGCTACCACCCTGCTGAGTCAGCAGCCTTCCCTAGATACATTCTGGGTCCATCCATGTTCATGCTACTACCTGTGCTTCTCCCGGTGTTCATCCAGCTGGGGCCAGGCATGTTATCTGAGATGTGACTGTGCTAATATTTTGTAAGTTGGTTTTTGAAGATTTTCTCAGAGCCAGAGACAAGTGAAAGTGGTAACTCCTTTAGAACATTTATGACTGGAGTTCTGTAAGTGACTGAGTCTCCTATCCAAATAGCTGTTGAGTTCTCTAGAAAGACAAAATTAAGGTCATGTTGAGCAAAGGTATTCTGCGAGTTTCCCCCTTACTTGACGTGGAAATACGTCTCCTCTGGCTCTTCCCCACCTCTGTGATTGTCCCTTGGAGTCCCACATGCATTCCTGGTCCAAACATGTGGCTGCTGTTGTGGGATTTATCCACAGAATGGCCATGGTTGTTCTATTTCTATGCTCCCTCCCCCAAAGGACCATTCAGTCTTAGGGTTTCTACTCTCCCTTCTAGGATGAGATATATCACTTTTATTTTCACTTTGCCTCAATTCTAGTGTTTTGAAAATTATTTGAACCTTAAATTGTATGTAACCTTAAAATGTTCTAAGCTTATATTGTGACAATAATTGCGTAACTCAGAATACACTACACTAAAAATCAGTGGGTGAATTTTATGGCATGCAGTTTTTATCTCAATAAATATGCTTTTAAAAAAGAATGAGATCTCTCTTTTTGTCATTTTATGTTATATTTTATAAATAGTTTTAGTTAGAGGATAATTTATAAACATTTGTATAAAAACACATATCAGATGCTAAAGAAATGTAAAGGAAGAAGGCACACCCACACATTGTGAATCATTGTTTTTCATTTTGAACTTTTGCATAGAAAAGTCAGGACAGCTAATAGATGATTATAAAATAGGAAGCAATCATACAGAGGCTTATATTGTTTCTAGGTGCTGAACTGAT